TCTAGAAACGTTGCGTCATAGTAGTCACGTGACTCGCTGACGCAACAGTGTCAAAACCTTGTCGAAACATTGTACATTTGCTGTTGTGTTAAACTTATATTAAAGTTTTTCTTCATTACCCATTCAAGCCGTCTCCAACCATTATTAGTCTCAAATTGGGTTCCTCGTCATCGAATTTGAATTCTTCGTTATTTATATATAGCCCAGCTATACAAATGTAGGGATCAAATGTATAGGAAGCTAAAAACGAAAACTGATCCTTACAAAATAAACATTTTTTATCTCCATGACTACGACTAAATTCAGGCGCTCATCTTGGCCTGGAATAAAGTGCCCTCTCGTGGATATTTACCACTCTTTTTGAGTTTGCGCAATATACTTTTGATTTGTGCAGAACACTTGTTAGGGAGTTACAACGTGTAGAAATGTTGTAACTCTAGTATCTCGTAAAGCTATCATAATTTATCGTATCGACAAGTTATACCTTATAAATATATAAAGTTAAATGAACGACTTTGCGATATGTTTTTGCGGTCCATAATACAGCAAAAATGATTTTAACAAAGCTCTGTTTTTAGTTGATATCGTTTAGATGTCATATGCTAAGACTAAGTGTAACTTGTAAGAGTAAGAGTAAAATTAAGAAAGTTTGGGTATCTTGTAACCGCACGTTGTAGCATACCGTAGCGCTTAAAATTTTTGATGCTTGGCTTCCAGATAAGCCTGAAAACTGAGTAAAATACTCCATCGTCTTTGACTGTGTTATTATTATTACTTAAAACGTTGACAACACACAATAAAGAAAAATGTCCGATGACGAAAAAGGTTTATTCTTCGTTGACGTCTATGATCTCTGTGAAGTTATTGGAAGGTAACTAATTAATTGACATTATCACAAACTTAGCTTAGTAAGGTTTCTTTACGGTTTACCTGTAGTCTAGTTACATTTTGTGTATTCATATCTGTTTATGGTGTGTTTACATTTACGAGAAAATACTGCAAAAGAGCGTGTAAGTTGTAACTCGGCTTAATTTTTAGTTTAACAGTAATCGTTTTTAAAAATTAAACGTTTATCATTATGTGACATATTTCAGTAGGCTGTAAGTTGTATGCTAATTTGCAAGCAATTGTTTTTTTTCCTTTTTCGTCTGTCAGAGAATTGCGTAATTTTCAAAAATTAATTTGCTGGAGCACAATTTTGAATTAAAACCTGTGCCCAAGTTGAAGGGAATGGTGATTAATCATTTAATGTGTTAAACCTAAAATTTGTAAAACAAAACTAAATTCACCAGAATTTATAAAAATGTTTATTTCGATATATATTTAGAAAGACATGAATAATGAAATAAATAACTAAAGAAATAGATCAATTATTTTCATACATTTTTATATCAGATACAAAGTAAATGTTGAATTTACAACTCAAAGAATATATATTTTTCATGAAATATTAACTTCAGTAAAAAAAAACTTTAAGATCCTTTTAAAATTTTAAAGATCCTTGTGTAAATAACTAATTTGAAGCTGCCTTAGCTAGTATTCAATAATTAAATATAAAACAATTAGGCTACAAAGGATTTTATGTTGGATATTCAGTTCCTGTTACTTAGTTTCATCATGAAAATCAAATCTATTAAACCACTAAATTTTAATATTTGTTTGCTAGAAAAAATTGGTGTAATAAATATATAATGGTTAAAATCAAATATTAAAGTGCATTTTTAAAAGTCATGTTCATATTAATTTGTAGGGCTATGTAGTATTACTGTTAGCAAATTGAGAATTGTTGGTGAATGTATTTATTTTAAATGTATATATAAATATAACTAGTTATTTCATTGTATATTATTTTAACTAGCTAAGAGTTGTATTTATAACATTGGAAAAGTTAAAATTGTGAACAGAGATACAGATTCAAGAATGTGTCCTATGACAAAAGAAGAAATGTCAATGTTTATATTATATGTAATTACGGGACAGTAATATACAATGGGTAAAAATAATAAAGTATGAAATATTAACATACTTTTGTTCCTTATAATGTACATAGAAGCCTAGAAAGTAAGATGACACAACCATTTGGCTTAACAAGGTCTCCTCCTTCACCCATGACAATAAACAACAAAAACTACCAAAGTTAAAATTACATATAATATTTTAATTTCAGCTTAAACACTAAAAGCTCATGAAGTATTAGAAGCTAACATGCTTAAGCATATGTGCATTTTGTGTTTTTATTTCAGATGTTAGGCCTATAGATTGTCTTTCACACTCTTATATTTATTCAGTAAAAGTTTAAATGAATTCTAACTAATAACACATCACATTATAAGGCCAAATATTCCACAAGGTTGTAAGTGTAACTATTAAAAAAATAACTTTCATTAACTGAAAAGATTGCATCTGGTTTTCCAAAGATATACTGTTATCCCTAATTTTCAGGTTTGCATTTTAGTCCTTTTAATGCCACTGTTCAAACAGAGCACATTGAAAAGCTTACTCAATACCTAACAGTTTTGAGTATTTGAAACAAGTCACCCCTAAATCATTTATTCTAAAAAAAAGCTTTAAGCCTCTTCCCATAACTTAAATGTTTTGAACTGGCATCTCAGTTTAATATCCTGTCTCTGCATAATTATTTGTAAGAAAACAACAGATAGAACATAAAAAGCAAGGTAAAAGAAAAATCCATAAAAACAGGTAACCAAACAATTAGATCCAAATTAAATGTAGGGTTTCCTATAGATATAAACTTCAATGATTGTTTAAAAAACTCAAAAGTAACAGTATACACACCATATCAAATAAATCATTCAACAAGTATCTTATGTATATATTGGGAACTGTGGTGTCTGTCTGAGCATTTGTCTATCTCCCATTTGGAAAGATACACACACAGGCAAGATTCAACATTCACATTTGAAATGATGAGAGAACAGGCATGAATAATGCTCATTCCAAATTTAATTCACAAGCTGGATATTCTATACTAAATTGTTAGAAATTAATCACACTATCATTCACATTTCGAAATGTGGTATAACTTAAAGAATATAAATGTAGATTTACCATATGTTATTGAGAGGCTCTTAGCATGACTAAAATGTTCAACAATTACTATTTGTGGTGGGTGGTATAAGTAGCTCAGAGCTTTGGTTCTGAGTGAAATCAAGAGTACAACATAATTAACCTTTTTAAAGTCCATGAAATAATTTAAATTGATAGATTAACTTAAACTTTTCCCATCACTGGAGATGGGTACTTTTGTAACTTAAACTTTTTCCATTACTGGGGACAGGCACTTTTGCTTATAACTCTATATAGAAATAATTTTGCTGAACAACAAGTCTGAATTTGAATTAATTCTCTAATCATAACTGATTTTAAGAAAGAGTTATACTCATAATATGGATAAAACGTTTTTCCAATATAATGATATTCTTTTCTGTAGTAAAGGGACCAAAACTGGACACAACATTCTAAGGTCTCATCAGAGCCTTATATAAGGCTAATATATCCTTCTCGGTTAGAATTCCAAATTCTCTTTTATATATTAATGGATGGAGTTTCTTATCAAAGCTAGTATTTAGCATAAGGCTTCAATTTTTTTTTTATATCAACAACACCCTTATGTCTTGTTTACCAACACCACAATTGCTGTCACACAGAAAGCAAGTCTTTTCCAGATTTTTTTCTTTCAATAACATCTTCCAATCCATATTAGGAACAAAAATTAGAAATATTACTTTGCAAAAAAGTTTTCAAAATTAATAAAACAGATGTTTGAGGGATCCAATTAGATATGTTTTCATAGTTGGGGGAATTAAATTATCCTTTCAGTAGTTAGACGTAACCTTTTTTTTTTGTATTTGACTCTCTAACAGTTTTAATCATTGCTCATTCTTTTACCATAGAAAAATAATTATGATTTGCTGTGGGTGAACTATTATGACAAACTATACTAATAGAGATGATATTTTTCAGCCCCGAAACAAATAAATTATAAATACTTGTGGTTGTAGGTTAACAGTTGATTAGTTAGGATTTCTGAAAGTAAAGAATGGGTATACAGTTTTATATTTCTCAAGGTTGGGTTTGCAGCATGTCTGTAAGTAATGTTATGCTCTGATATGGCACTTAAGGGATTTATTACTGCAGGTACAGCCAAGCCTAACATTATTATATTAGACTTAGTACTAGATCAATATTCTAAACTTGTTATTTTTAGGTAGTACTAGTAGCAATAGGTTATAGGATACTAAAGTTTTTAAATTCTAGATTAAAGTAAAGAATTATCACAAGTGTTAGTTAATTTAAGAAGAATTTATTTATTTTAATAGATGAGGTTATTTTCTCTAACATTATTTGGTAACTGCTGAGAATTCAATACATTAATAAGTTATTTAGATTAGGAATTAGTTACATCTAACTAGAGGCATGATGTGCATCATAACTGCAGTACTAGTTATTAATTATAAAAAGTATTAATTAATAGTGGATATTATGTTAGGTTAATCAATAAACTGTAAAATAGCTTAATTTTAGTTCGATATACAAGTGCTCACCCAAGCCATTTTTAATTTATAGCCATGGATTTTTGAGAAAAACTATTGCAGAATTCAAACATGAAGCAAACAAATAACCAAGAGCTAAACAAAGTACACATCATTATAGTTTTTTTTAAAATGAAAACTATAACAAATCTATGTACGTTTCAAAGTTTAAGTTCATTACTCTCTTTTTGTAGAAGAAAAATAAGGTACTTTTATTGATACTTAATGTATACATCCTTTTCCCTTGAAGACATGAAAAGCCAGTTTTAAATTGAGTTTGAAGTAAAATAATAAAAGTTATTGTTCAAACGTGTCTTATTTTTGCAGTGAATCTTTCTTAGTCCATACTTTGAAACTTTGGATTTTTTACAACCCCAATGATTTTTCACATAGACAAATCTTCACAAAAGGAAGTTGAATCAGTAATCTGTGTATTGGTGTATTTGCATTAGGAATCCAAACAGCTGTTTTTTATAAGAAATGTACATTTCTTGTGGATACATGATTTGGTAATGCATACTTGAC